TGGCCAGCATGGATTGCATCCTGCCTCAGTGCTATTTGCTTGACCTGTTATCTAAGATTCAACTGGCTTCTCTTCCTATATTCAGTAGGGAGGGAGAGACCTGGGTCAGCAGACTTCTTCTTAGCATTAAAAAGATCTTTCACCATGGCAGTAGTGATGGGAGGGGCAGCTTTGACTCTCTGTTGATATTTACCCATGTTTACTCCAGCATCCTGGCAGAGCATGGTGATGATGGAAGGAAAAGCAAGGGAGTCCCTCTTGGTGCTTAAGATGCTCATGATGAAGTTGCTTATAATGTCTCCCACATAGATTGGCATTCCAGTGAGGATGGCATATAGAAGCTCAGCTCTTTTGACAGCCAATGTGGAGGAATGGCGTACTGGCATGAAGGAGCTTAGCAGGAAAATGCTCCACACCTTGGCTGGTGGGAGGAGGTGTTTGGTGGTCAGATTCTTGGGCATGAGCTACATGTCAAACTCCCAATTTTCTCCTGGTTTACAGATGGCCTGGAGTATGGGCTTGTAGTCCTTCTCTTCTAGATAGCTGAATGTAGTGAAATCAAGCTGTCCAGCTCTCCTCTCCACTGGAGGTATGTTCAGAACCCTCTGAATGTTAGATGGAGAAAAATCAATTTCTACACCTCTTACCATAGTGTGCCGAAGGGCCAGCTGGTCTCCTTTTACCCTCATTGCATTAGCATAAAATTCTTGGGTGATCTCCTTCCACCCATTTCCAGCACAAGAGGTAAACAGATCTCAGCCCCTCCTCTGAATTTCTTCCTGAAATTGAGTATAGGTGCCCTCCTGGATCTCAAAGTTACGATCTTGCACTATCTGCCTGCGCAGGATGTTGGTTCTGAAATATTCTTCATGAGCTAATGAGCGAAACCTCGGGTCATGTGCAGGAGGGGGTCTGGATGATGAAGCTCCAGCAGCTCTGGCTCTCTTGGCTCTAGGGGTGGTCTTCCTGGGTGTATTAGCCATGTTGCTGCAGATTCACAGTTTAAGTGATGTCAGAGTGTGCACTGTGAGGTGTTGTGCTGCCAAAGTGTTCACTATGTAGAATGACAGTAACTACTTTGGACACAGGGCAGCAATAATTTATGCAGAAAGGTTAAAACATATCAGTTCAAAAGGGCAAACTTAACAAGAAATAGTGTGTAGAACTGCTGCTGCATGTGTGGTGGTAGATATACTATACTTATGCAGTAAAGAACATGGCAAAATGATGATCATGGCACACAGTAATCACTCTAGAATCTAGTCCTGACAGGTATGATGCAGCAGATTGCAAAAATAACTAGGCTAAGCATGTGGATGAAGGTTCAGAGTGAGTATACATGCTTCAGAAATTGTACACATAGTCAGTGAATGCATTTGAGCATGAGAGTGAACAGATAGTGTTATGCAGTGTATGATTATGCAGATTTTCAGCAACATGAAAGAGGTGCTTAAGGGTGATTGAATGTGTATCATAAAAGTGCAGCAATGATAACAATCTATCACATTCAAGACAACAAAGAATCCCAAAATATCACATTGTGGTGAGGGAGGTGCAGACAAAATGGTTACTTATGTTCATGGCAATGATCACTATAAGGCTTAATTGCTGTCAAAATAACTAGGATAGCACAAGGGAACTGTGTAATTAGTAGTGAATTCAGGAAATGCATCAAAAATTAAAAATTACATATCCTAGTTGAACTATGTAAATATCAGCACAGCAGAACACTAAAAGTGAAAACTATTGCAAATGGGAGCGGTTACTCCTAAGGTAACACTTCTCAATTCAGCAGAACAATCAGATGAAATGCCCCCTTCATCTTTCAATCATCCAAACATCCAATTAATAACTGCAGCAAGTTAACAATTTCAATCCAAAAGGTCCAAATGCAGAATATCCAAAGTGAGCATTCTGGGCGCACAGGGCAACTACCCTAGGGTTTAAAATATCAAAAGTGCAGCAATTAAATGCAAGTGACTGGTCCATTAAGTCTGAAATGCAGAATTATTGATGGAATAACAGATTAAAACACCCAATTGCAGTCCAGGAAGTTGCGAAATTGAAATCCCTAATTTCACAGCAAGAGCCCTAATTCCAGGAATTAAAAGTTAAAAATTACCTGAATTGGATGTGCAAGGTGCAAAACAGATGTGAGCAACTGAACCTTTGGGGCAATGAATCAAATACGAATGGAGGAGGGGGATGAATTTGAGAATGGCAGTGAGAATTGTTCAGAACTGGGGTGAGAGTGTGTGAGAGAGTGAGCACTATATATATATGGGGGGGCCAGAGTGGTTACTCTCAAAAGTTAACAGTGAACACGCGCACAAGGTTTTGGTGCAAATGAGCTGGGCGTGTTCACTCTGCTTTTTAAGAGTAAACACTCCAGAGGCATCTAAGTTCAAAAAAGAGGAATGAGTCTGCGCGTGTTTACTACCAACTTTACAAGAGTAAACACTCCAGAGGCTTCTAAGATTAAGGTGTGTAAAAAGCTCTGCGCGTGTTTACTGTCAACTTTTGAATAGTAAACACTCCAGAGGCTTCAGGGTGAAAGTGGGTAAAAAGCTTGCGCGTGTTTACTTCTTTTCACAGAGTGAAACTATTGGGCTATGTAAGACTTATTAATATAGACTTTTAGAAATTAGGGTACGTGAGACAATTTTCCTTAGATTCTTTTACCACTTTTGGAGCATTTTGCAGAGCTTAGGATTCTTGGGTGACAGCCAGGGATCCATTATAGGTTTTTAATTTCCAATTTTCCTTGGATTTCTCCTTGATTTTACATTAATGTTGCTTATGTTTCTACATTCTCTTCTTTCATTTGTGAAGCCCATCAATGTATTTTTGTTCTATCATTTTCTTTTTATTTATGGCTCATCCTAAATTCTCTTGTAATTCTAGTCATCATATGGTTCTTGAATTCTTGAGTTTAATGGCAATATCACTCTTTCTTTCTTGGATTTATTAACCCCAATCTCTGAATGAAATGAAATTTGCATGAGGGGAACATTGCTTAATGAACCCTAAATTACCCAACGAAATTCTAATCTAAATTGCTTAATTTTGATTAATCTTTGAGATTGCTTAATCTTAGGGATAGAGAATTGGAGCCCATTAAGATGCTTAATTTTAATTGGGATACTAAAGTTAATATTTGCTTGTTAAATTAACTTAATTCAAGGGAAAAATAGAGGATTATTGAATCATTTGAAAGAATAGGGATAGAACTCATTGATTGACTAGGGATTACTCTTTTTAATTGATTGAATTTCATTAGTTTACATTCTGTTCTTGATTAAAATCTAGAAATTGACAAACCTCCCCCCAATTTACTTGCTTTAAAATATATGTTTACACTTGTTCGATGTATGTTCCCAACCAAAAGTTCCTTGGAGATAACCTAGGACAACACCCTAGTATTGCATTTATATCTTGCATATTTGATGAGGATTAACGACAATCTTTGTGCATAACGAGTAGTGAAAAATCGTTCCATCAGGCAGCAGGCTAAAAAAGGGTTGGTTGTTTTACTTTTGGAGAAAACAAGTTTTAGGGTTTTTGTCTTTTCTTCTTTGCCTCTTCTCTTTTCTCATGTTTTTACCTTTCGTTTTCCTCCATTAATAGAGGCTTAGACTTTCATCTAATCCAAGGATTGAAAAAGGGCTGAGACATTCTTGAGGATCAGTTTTGCAATTCATTCAACAACAAATCCGGTTTCATCTCTTCCTTCGTTTTCCTTTATCTAATTAGATTTTTGAATTGAAGTTATTCATTTGGATTGATAATTGTGCAGTTGTTTGATTACATATTATTCGTTGATGTATGTAATTAATTTTTGAAGGAATGTGAATTAGATTTTCAGGTTTGAGATCTAAGATTAATGACATTGGTGAATTAAATTAACATAAATCAATTAGGTTTTAGAGGTTTCTGAACTTTAAGCGATTGTGTGTTAATCGAATGCATGAGGGTCTTCATGTGAATGCTTAATTTGAATTGAGGTTTCATTCGAATTTAATGTTAGTCACTAATTTGTTGGCTGATGCATCATATTGGAATCTGGTGATAGAATGGTCATAGTTCTTCTAAATTCTTGGATTAGAGTTTTCAATTCTTGTTAATTTTTCATTCTAATCAGTGTTATTTTATAAATCAAACCCCATCCAAATTCATAATCGTATAACATTATCATCATTGGGAGATGACTCAGATTGCACCTGTTACTACATAATTTTTATGCAATTTAGTTTTTAATAATTTGTACGAGCGCGACACTCGCAATCAATGACCCTTATTTGTGGAAATTCTATAGTGACCAAGTCATCAGAAGGTGCATACCTGATGAAGAGATCTCGTCCATACTACAATTCTGTCATGCCTCAGCTGTAAAAGGTCATCAAGGACCTTAGAGGGCAACAAGAAAAGTGTTAGATGCAGGACTGTATTGGCCCTCAATTTTCAAAGACTCATGGCAAACATATTCCACCTGTGAAAGATGCCAAAGAGTGGAAGGAGTAATTACTTGGAGACAGGAGATACCTCAACCGCCCATCCTATATTGTGACATCTTTAATGTCTAGGGTATTGACTTTATGGGACCCTTCCCTTCATCTTTTGGTTTTCTTTATATACTTCTTGCTATTGATTATGTCTCAAAATGGGTGGAAGCTAAGGCCACCAGGACTAATGATGCCAGAGTTGTTGCATATTTTTTCCATAGTAACTTACTTTGCAGGTTTGGAATCCCTAGAGCCATCATTAATGATCAAGGAAGTCACTTCTGCAATAGGACAATGGAAGTCTTGTTGAAGAAATATGGAGTTGTACATAAAGTTTCCACTACCTATCACCCACAAACGAATGGACAAGCTGAGCTCTTTAATAGAGAAATTAAGAAAATATTTGAGTGAGTAGTGTAGCCACATAGGAAAGACTGGAGCCGCAAGGTTGAAGATGCCTTGTGGGCACATAGAACTGCATTCAAGACACCCTTGGAAATGTCACCATATAGGGTGGTCTGTGGAAAAACTTGCCATTTGCCAGTTGAGGTGGAACACAAAACTTACTGGGCAGTGAAGACCTGTAATATCCATTATGACTCAGCTAGAGAGCAGAGAAAGTTGCAATTGCAAAAGTTGGAGGAGCTGCGTCTTAAGGCTTATGAGAACTCCAGAATTTATAAGGAAAAGATCAAGCGGTACCATGACAAGATGATCTCAAGTAAAGAATTTTACATTGGTCAAAAGGTTCTCTTGTTCAATTCCCACCTCAAGCTTATGCCTGGAAAGCTCAAATCTAGGTGGATTAAACCTTTCACAGTCACAAGGGTGTTCCCTCATGGTGCAGTGGAAATCCAAAGTGACTCCACAAGCAAAGGCTTTGTGGTGAATGAACACCGCTTGAAGCCATTCTTGCAAAATTTAGCCACCTTGGAAGAAGTTGAGGAGATTGACTTGCACCTACCTACACAAATCCTAACCATAACCCTTGGCCTGCAAAACTCACTTCAAACGTCAAGCTAGTGACGTTAAAGAAGCGCTGTGTGAGAGGTAACTCACAAGTTAATTTAGATTTTTAGCTGTTCCTTTACATTTAATAAGCATCTTTTATTTAAGCTGTGATACTTGATGGATGCATGCATAGTTCTGCTGTTAAAATTTTTCTTTTTGTACTATATTTGTTAATTGATATGATTTTCTACATATTCTCAGAATTTTACAGTAAGAATTGCAAATATTGGACTGGATCCAGGCACAAATTCAAGGAAATTTAAGTGCACAGAAGAATGCCTATTTCCACCTTACAATACAATCATTTTGAGAGAGAAGTTTCAATTTCATCATAAGAGGTGACCACTTTTAATTTCATACTAATCACTTTCAGCTAAGGTAAGTGGTGCTCCTCTCTGTAGTTAGCACTTTCAATTCCAAAGTGATCACTTTCAATGGTTTTTAGGCTAATGCATCTGCGCATAACCACTTCCAATCCACAGTAACCATGCCAGAGACACTGGGAATTAATAGGGCTCTTTGTAGTTGTCACTTCCAATCCATAGTGGACACTACAGAGACCCTTCCTGGGCACACATGTTGCGCGTAGCTACTTTCATTTCATAGTAGCTACGCATAACCCAATCATGAATTTTGAAAAATAGGCGCTCTCTGTAGTTGCCACTTCGATCCCATAGTAGCCATGCGCAGCATCAATTTGGAAAACACAAATATGCGTGTCCATTATGGTTTTCAAAGTGACCACGCCCACTTCCTATATATATTGAAAGTCGTCACTTTGACACTCACTCTCTACGAACTTCAAACCCTAAATCCTCCAATCTCTCTTCACTCACACCACTCGTCTTCACCATTCCTTGCGTACGCTCATCCATTTTTGTATTTCTGCACTAATTCCAAACTCCATTTCAGGTAATCTCCTAACTTCACTCTCTCTGCATTAGGGTTTGTGACTGCGCAAATTAAGGGTTTTGATTTGGGGATTCATGCTTTGAAATTTCTGCATAAATTCTGCTATTTGAAGTATGGTTGCATGACTGAAAGGGATTGTGGGTGTTTAATTAGGATAAAGTGCTATATTCTGCCATTGTCGAACCCTAGGGTAGCCACTCCCATTTGAGATGATGAATACTTGTGTGTTCTGAAGTAGTAGCGACTATCGTAGGTTTGTATTTATAGATTTTGGGCATGCTGGAATGATTGGAAAGGGGTATGGACTTTTACCTTAATTTAAATCACTGCATTTTGGATGCTTGAACCCTAGAGTGATCACTGCTGTTTAGGGATTTTGCTTTAGAGCTTCATGCATAGCAATTTTTATGTATATTCTGTTATTTGAAGTGTGATTGTGTGCTTGAAGGGGATTAGGGGTGTTTAATCTCATTAATGTGCTCAATCTCATCAAAACAGAACCCTAGGGTAGCCACCCCAATATGATAGTGATTACTCTGTCCTTTACTGATTGACATAGTGCCTATTTTAGGCTAGTTTTGACATTCAAAATTATCCTCCTCACTCTGTGATTCATTTCCCTGTGTTCTAACTTGCATTGAACTTCATTATGCTGCATTATAGTATCTATTTACGTATCTTGTGAATTGGAACAACAGTGTTTTCATTCCACATTTCTGATGTTGTGAATTTCTGAATCTCTACATAATATGTGCTCATTCTTTACATATAATACACCATGGCTAATTGCACTTTGATTGTTAGAATTAATTTGCTCCCTTGCTACCAGCACACATATTTCTGATTCACCTGCATTCTGATTTGCTTTGCCTACTTTCTGACGTGCATTCCATATCAATTGCTCTCCTCTTATTTGCACTTCTTTGCATTTGTTTTCATTTTGCTACTACACTGCTCATATTATGCCTATCAGGTGTGACCACTTTGCATATGGATCCTAATAATTTTATAACAACAGCACTTTGAATTGTAATTCACGAGAGTCTCTTAATTTCTGCTGTGTGTAATTTTCTGTGCCTCTATACTTCTGCTGTGTGTATTCACACAATTACCTAACTGCACACATGCACAGTTCCTTTTAATTTTTGCAAATTGGAAGTAATCATCCTTACAAATTGCCTGCATTCCCACTGTCAGTTGCATTTCTCTACAATAGCATTCATCCTGGTAGCAGAATCAACATGTTGCATTGCATTTGCATAATTGCTATCATACAATGCATGAATTCATCTGCACATAGTCAAAGATATCATTTTCATTTTTGTAGATGTTTTATGCCTATTTTTCCTGTATGCATAATCTGTCATATTCCTGCCATATGCACTGAACATTTTCTGCTGCATAATATCAGTGTGCATTCAACTCATTATTTCTTCTCTTCCTCTTTGCAGCAACCATGGTTAACACACCCAGGAAAAATCCTCCAAGACCCAAGAGAGCCAAAACAGCTAGTGCCTCCTCATCCAGACCTCCACCTACACATGATCCTCGATTTCGGTCCTTGGAGCATGAAAACTACTTCAAGGCCAATGTCCTGATAAGGCAAATAGTGCAAGACTGCAATTTCAAGATCTAAGAGGGCACCTACCCCCAATTCCAGGAGGAAATTCAAAAAATATATTGGGACATCTTCACCACATGTGCTGGTAACAAGTGGATGGAAATCACCCAAAAAATTCTTTGCAAATGCCATGAGGGTGAAAGATGACACTTTTCCCCCTAAACACAGCATGGTGAGGGGCAAAGAGATTAACTTCACTCCCTCCAACATCTAGAGAGTTCTGAACATCCAAGCTGTGCCTAAACTAGCTGACCAACTGGACTTCACTACATTCAGCATCTTGGAGGAAAAGGACTACAAGCCTATCCTTGAAACCATCTGCAAAGAGAGTGAAAACTGGGAGTTTGACACAAAAATGTAGCCTAAGAACCTAACAACAAGACACCTAGTCCCTGCAGCCAAAGTTTGAAGTGTCTTCATTCTCAGCTCCTTAATGTCAGTTGTCCACTCCTCCACATTGACAGTGAAGAGGGCATAATTGATATATGCCATCCCCACAGGCATGCCCATCTATATTGGTGAAGTGATCAACAGTTTCATCATGGACATCCTGAGCAGGAGCAAAGACTCCATTGGTTTTCCATCCATCATTGCTATGCTATGTCAAGATACTGGGGTCGACTTTGGAGACTACCAATAGAAAGTCAGAGCAGCCCTTCAAATCTCCACAGCCATGGTGAAGGAGCTGTTTAAGCCTAAGAAGACTGCTAACCCAGGGTTGTCACTACCAGTTGAATATAGGAAGGGAACTCCACTGAAGATGAGGGAGCAGATGAGACAGATCGCCTTGAGGCAGGATGCCATACATACTGGCCAGAAGGCCATGATGACTCTAGTGGACACCATACTGCTGAACTTATGGAAGAAGTTGGGGATGACCTCTGCACAGCTTTATGATGCCTCCACCTTCAGTGCTCCCTACCTTCGAGCAGCGATCCAGAATGATCTTCCACCTTTCACTCCCACTATCCCAGGCAGAATTACTGCAGATACTAGCACCTCTAGCTCTTTAGATGAAGAACCACCAGCAGTAGTGGAGCGTGTTGCTAATGATGGTGATGATTCTTCCTTTTCCAGCTCAGGTGAAGATGCCATTTAGTTTTAGCTTCTTTTTCATTACATCCGCTTTTGGTTTACTGTCTTCCATTTTCCTGTGTATATTATTAGCTATCATTTCCATGTAATTATCGTACATTACTGCTTTTATCATTGTTGATTCACTTTCATATTCCTGGTTTTATTTTGAACAATTTAGAACTCCTCCACTTATATATATATATGTATATGTATATGTATATATATATATATATATATATATATATATCTTCATATTTCGCTTTCCTATTTGCTCTCTATGCTGAGTTCTGAATTCTGTGTATATTTGTGCATAAAATGGTCTCAGCCCCATTAAAAGGAGTATGAAATTGCCATTGAATTGTGAATCCATCTTCCATGAAAGGGGGGTGATCTCTTTGCCTCTATTTCATGAGTGTTTAGTCTAAATTTCTTGCATAGTAATAGACAAAAATATACAAAAATATATTACCCTTTGTGCTTTTGTTTTTTTTAATTTAGTCCAATTTTGTAGTTCCAATTTTATATTCTGATTACACTTCCCATTCCACTCACAATCATTTGCTATTTTGTACATATTTACATTCCTACCATACTAAATATATTTTCTTGTAAGGTGAACTATATTCACATATTGCAAGCAATTATCACCTTTTACCATGGTAGCGAATTGAGCCTTCAATCTCTTTTCTGTGTGCACTTTACATGTATTTTTGCACTCATCTTCTAGAACTTGCCCTATTTCTTACTTGAATATGCATTGCGCAATTTTTCATCTAGATGATTGAGGCCTTCTTTACACACATACCCACCACCCTAGACCACCCTTGCACCTAATTTTCCTTGTTTTACATTTCCCTTTTTGCCAAACTTAGTCTGCAAAAAATTATTTTCTTACCTTAAGAGAGGTATTTCTTTTGAGTTGCATCAAAAGTGAATGCAAGAAACTAAGTTTAGGGTACTGATCTTGACTGTAGTTGCTTGAGGACAAGCAACCTCTTAAGTTTGGGGTAGTGAGTATCATATACATGTCACAAATGCTTGAATTTGAAGAAAAGAATGATTATCAAAGTACATAAAAAAATGAAAATGAATGAAAGAAAAAAAATAATGATACAACAAGTTATTTTGATAGAAAAAAATATATAATTCCCACATAAGACAAAATAATGAAAAATATGGTGAAAAAAAATGCTTGAATCTTATTTGCTGCATCATTGAATGCATTCCACTCTAAGTTGTTATATTCACTCACTCAAAAGAATTTCCTTTTCTTTAAATACCCACTTGAGCTTATGTCCATTCTTGATCAAAATTGAACCTAACTCCATTTATGTCCAATAAAGTCTTCTTGATAGGTGAAGCCATTTTATCTAGGCAAAGGAGATTAAGAATATGGGCAAGT